GAAAAATTACATATTTGGTAATGTAATTCCAGGAACAACTTTTTTAGACTTCGTAGTATTTTGATGGAGTGGGAGAGTGTTAATCTTCAGAAGAAGAAAAGGTATTTTTTCAGCAACAGTCTTGGACTATTGTAATATTGCTCTTTATGTCCAATATCTGGTGGATTCATACAAGAAGTTGTTGGGTTTTTTCTCTATATCTTGATTCCTACCCAAATAGTCACTTGATAATCAAATGATGTGCTGGAGAAGAACTTGCTCTTCAAAGGACATCTCCAATTTCTACTGCCTTTACATGTTGTTCACCTTTCAGTGGGAATGTTTGCTTACATTTCCCTCCAGAGGACAGCCAGCCATTATTTTCAGTTTCACTTTCTTCTTGGTTTTTCCGCCTTCTTGCAGAAACATTGGTGTGGCCAGTGTTTATGGAGACACTTTAAACAAAAATGTTGTGTAATCTTGAGCGTGTGAGGAATGGCACAACTTAGCAGCACTGAGTGGAAGGAGATCCCTGCCATTAGATGAGTTTATTTTTTAATATGCTTGCAAAGTCTGGAAGAAGAATAGTTCACTGCATGCAGACTTTAACCATGTCTGACTTCAGAAGTAGATTGTAGTAGTTATAACCACAGACGTTATAATTTGAGGGTTACTATTTTCTGAAAAACCACAAACATTGCAGTCTGTGGCTGCATTTCCTAGATAAAATTTAGTACTGCCACCTGATCCTTGTGTGGAAACAAAAGAATTTTCCTATAAATTGCAAACCAACATATGGCTTGCTTTATTTTTAAATACTGACTGGAGTTCTCTGGCATATACAATAGTGTTTTTTTCTTTCTGTCTTCCTGCAGATTTATTTATTGTGATTGTGTGGTTGTCATTCCTAATATATGGTTGAATATGATTTATCAATTGAGTACTTGAAAAAATACTTGAGTATTTTATTTTTTATTAGGTATTCTAATCTTCTAACTGGTGTCATGTCAAGCACATATATACAGGGTTGTGTAAAGCAGCTAACTTTGTGACTATAATTTAGTACTCCAACCTCTGATCAAATACTAAAAAAACCAGGGTGTGGGGGGGAAGGAATTGCAGTTTGTGGAGTGCTCTTCCCCACCTTCTTACGGGAAACTGGGTTTTCCCATTTCCTTGGCTCTCACTAACAGCCTCAAATAATGCTGCACCCTCTTTAGTTAAAGATGAAATAAGGGCCAATTTTTACCTTTGCAACTGAAATCTTTTAGGATAAAATCTAAAGGTAAATACAACATAATAGGAAAGAGCAAAGAAAGAGTTGAAGTAAAAGTAAGCACATGCTGGCAGGTGTACATGCAGTTAAGACTTTGTTGAACAGTAGTAATAGGTAATATCCAAGTTTAAATACCTTTATATAGTTGATATTTAATGACAGAAATAGAGCAAAGACAGCGACTTTGAGTACTTAGAGAAGAGTCCTTTGTGAAATATTATATAGAAGAAGGAGTGAGGGTTCTTCTCACAGAAGGAAAAACTGATATCACTGATTAGGGTCAGAAGTACCTGAATTTAGCAAGCAGGATAACGTTTATATTCAGATGAGAAACAGACATTCAAATCACAGAGAAATAGATCCACATGATTCATCCTAGGGTATGGTTAGGGAAGTTTAATCACCAAAAAGAAAAGTGTTGTGGAGAATTACCAGCAGGCTGGGAAATAAATACAAGTGTTGGGATGAAGCCCACTAAAGAACCAGTCTTTTTCTGCAGCCCTGTGAGAGTGTCCAGTCTGATGGCTACATGATCTGTCTGTTGACAGCAACTGCTGGGATGATTTTCAGGTGGTAAATATAGGTAATCAGTATCTGAAACAGTGAGATGTTTATATATTTGGAAGATATATCAGTATTTATTTTGGTTAACTGGAATGTGGTAGATGAATCGTCGAGTCGTTTAGGTTGGAAATGTAAGGTATAACATATGCAGGTATTCTTCCCAAGAATGCCAAGGCAGTGGAAGGAATAAAAAAAAAGGTTTATTTCAGATGGAAGGACCACTTTTTAACAATGCTGCCCTGCACACCAGGGGAAAAAGGCAAGGCCCCGACTTCTCCAAGGCTTTTTGTATCTTCTCTCTCTCCTCCCCCACCCTCTCTGGCCCGAGGAGGTCTTGTACATGTCTGCAAACATTTTACCTCTCTGCATACCAGGGAGATAGCTTGCTCATAGCTTCTCCCTGAAATGCAAAAGGAAGGAAAAAAAAAAATCTAACCCATTTGAGAAGGCATTTTATAGTCTTCCTAAACAAAATCGAGTTCTAGCTTTCCGTCACAAATTCTTCCGAAATTGTACCTCTCCCTACAGAAAAAACCCTGAAGATCCACCACTAAACCATGATCCCTTAAGATCCACCACGTGCCAAGTCCACCACTAAACCATGACCCTACGTGTGCCACATCTACACATCTTGAGTATTTTATTTTTTATTAGGTATTCTAATCTTCTAACTGGTGTCATGTCAAGCACGTATATACAGAGTCATGTGAAGCAGCTAACTTTGTGACTATAATTTAGTACTCCAACCTCTGATCAAATACTAGAAAAACCAGGGTGTGGGGGGGTGGCCTCACCAGTGCCCAGCACAGGGGGACAATCCCTGCCCTGGGAAATTGGGAAGCATCACTCCTGTTTTCAAAGAGGGCAGAAAGTTAAGGCAGCTTCTTTATTTAACACTATAAAAGTAATCAGTAATGTTTTATTAATGGTAAAACAAGTAAAGATATATGATATTAGAAAATAAGATTTTTTTATCGACTTCTTACTCTAGAAGTAAATAATGTAAATTATTTATAAATAAGTAAAAATTAACATAATTCTGATATGCCTTGCTCATTGCCTCCACAGGGTGTTATACAACTTTGCTTTCACTGTTATCTGTAGCTGTGTGTTTGTCAGAGTATTAATACTGGTCTTAATTTTATTTGGATTTTATAGTCCAAATATCTATTTGGACAATAAAGTGTTTCCAGTATCATATTAAGGATACCTTTTTTATCATATCAAGGATACTTTAATTGATTGTAAGTATTTTAGTGATGTAAAATTTCCTATATATTAAGATACAGCACCTTATCAGTTCTTTAATGTGCTTTGAAGACTTTAATGGGATACATGATGGAATTTTTTTACGTTCTAATACAAGACAGTATTTTAGGACATTTTGACAAATTAAACTGGCATGAGAATATAATTACAAGAACAGCATATTTCTGTAATATGTAGCTTTCTGTACTTTTTTTGTTAGTCTTGCCAGAGTTCTGTAGTGAAAGAAACCTTTTTCTAGGGATTTTTATTTGGTAAACTGAATTAAAATAGAAAAAAATTATAATCACCTTTCACAACTATGGTTTTCATATGTGCTGAATTCCAGAACAGTGGGGACTACATAGTTTCACATTTTAAATTTGGGATTTTAGGCTACTTCTGTTATAAAAATAGCAAAAGTGTAGTTTTGCAGAAACTATTCCATTTTGGCTGAAAAGGAGCAAACAGCTAAAGGTAAGAAAAAGAGCTTTCTTTTTCAGTTGAAAGGCTTCCACTGAAGAGACTCCTTTTAAAAATGGAGTTTTATACAATTCAGTGGTGATATTCTTCATCTGGTACATGAATAGCATATTGTAAAATTCTGATCTTAAATGTAGAGATGAATTATGTAACTTCCTAAATATCTTCTACTTCCAAAACCTTAAAATTCCACCTGTTCTCCGGCCAACCTTCCCCCCCTCCCACAAATCCAAGTTGTAAACATGTGTCATAAAATGTCTGTATTACTCTGCAGTCAAGCAAACCTATAAACAGACCTATGGGTAACAGTGTTATGTCTAATCAGTGAAAAATAATAAGGAATCCATGTATATTTACCTCTCATTTTGGCAAGTTTTGATTTTAAAAAAATAAAGGTGTGTGAATAAATACACTAGAAGTCCTGTTGTGTTCTTTTTTTTTTTAACCATTGGGGGTTTTCCTTCATTTCCTCCTTAATTCTGCAGGTGCACCTCTTGTGCTTCTGCTACTTCCAATTTTGGATATCTAGGACAAAAGCATAGGAATTGCCAAGGCCACTGCCTGATTTCTGAGACACTCTCCATCTCCCTGTCTCAGGAATCTCCCTGACAAATCATTTAATGCTGTCTGGTTATTTTTACTGGATGTTTATAGTTTCTGAGAACGTTAGATTTTCAGGATTTATAGGAATCTCAGTTTGTCACTTTGTTCTCCCGAATCTTGGAAGCAGAACACTTTGGCTCAATAATGTTATTCCCTATTTCATGAGTGGCTTTGGGAACCTGGGGCTTAAGTTTTTGGGGCAGTGACTTTAGAGCAGGAATTTGTTTCCTGAGCTGATAACCAGATAAGTTGTGCTGCAGGTGATAGAGATGTTTTAAGAAGTGGCTCCTGGTTTTCTCTACTGTGATGCTTTTGATGTAGAGTAATGCTAATTTAGAGGCAGGACTGGGTGGGTATCCTCTGTTGTTGTTTTACTGCTGTGTACAGAATGTCCCTGGCAATTCCCAAAGCTTGGACACAAACTTCCTGGTGATAGTTTTGAAACAAACTTTGGTGGTGTGGGAACGTTTCAAAGCTGCAGCAGGGGATGTTCAGGCTGAGCATTATGAAGCATTTCTTTGTGAGAGGGTGGTCAGACACTGGAACAGGCTCCCAGAGAGGTGGTCGATGCCCCAGGCCTGTCGGTGTGTCAGAGGCATTTGTATCTATTAATACAGCTTTAAAATTATTATTTCTCTCTTTTTTCCTCTCTTATTTTGCCCTTCGGTATTTAAAATACTGAATATGTAATTTTTTTTTTAAAGATTCTGCATATATTTAGGATGACTATTGTTGAGGAAGGAGAGGGGACACCTCCACTAATAATTTTAGTAGGAAGAAAAGAGATGACCCATATTACATTTGTGAAAGACTTGTTATATTTACAGTTACATGTTTTTCTTTTAAAAAGGAAATTGTCAAGGAAGCATTAATGGAGGAACAGAAACGAAGTGAAAAGGCTATTGAAGAAGCAGTGAAAAGGACAAGAGAGGAACTGATGGAATATATTAAAGAACAGAGAAGGGTGAGTTACCAGTGGCTAATGGGTTTCACTTCATGCAGTGAGAAATTGGTAAAGTTTATTAATCCTGAAATGTGTCTTAAAATGCACAAGAAAACAGAATCAGGAGTTAGATTTTCAGATCTTTCACCCATTTTTTTTCCAACAATTTGTTATTATGATATATTTCTTTTCATATATAAATTTATAGACCTTTAAATTCATCCAAGCCAAAAAGGAGAAATTATTATTTTGGTTAAAGTTTACAGCATTTCTTATTACAGTAACATAAAGATGGGGGCAAAAACACAGTCTGTCAGATTCAAATTGTGATCTGAGTTCAGTTCATTGAAAACATTTCAGTATAACTAACAGATGCTATTTTATGTTAACAAATGACCTTTATTGTGCAGTTTGCATGCACAAAAAAGTCATTAACTTTTCCTCTCAACCCACATCATAAGGGTATATACAGCCTGAAAATGTACTGGTATTCTGTTGAGAATGATTTATAGCCAGTGCATTGGTCTTGTTATGAAATCTTGTAATGTTCTGAAAGTTGGTTTCAATTGTTCTGTTAATGCTATATAGTGGTGGTTTAATGCTTGTGTATAAACAGTAAAATGTAACTCAAAGAACTTTGTTTTGTGTTCAGTAGGAGGAGAAAAATATAACACATTTCTCCCCTTTGAAGCTCTTTATAAAAACATAAACAGAAAATAATTTTTAAAAACCTTTTTTTCAAACAACAGTAGCAGCCCGAGGTACAATTTCAGTATTCTCAATAAATAAAATCACTCAACTTGAATTTAATTGGTAATGTCGTCCTGAGAAGGAAGTAGAAATAATGCATTTGGCCACTGCCTCTGTATTCCCTGATTTTATGGGTTGAGTAGTATTATGGTAAATAGGATTTACCTTCAGAAGTTTCACTCTGCTGCTTGTTAACCTTACTGTTGGGTGAGTTCCTTCCGTAATTCTGTGTGGAGACATTTCCTTTTAGCAGGATTTGTTTTATTTGCAAAGGCATTTAAACAGAATCCAGTGCACAACATGATCCATAAGGATGTTTGAGTGTAGCTGAAGTCAGCTATTGACAAAGGATAAGCTGTGAGGAAGGTGAGAGTAGGTCTACTATTAAAATAACTTGGGTCATAAATAAATTCTAGAGGTCAGTAGGACCTCTAGAGCAGACCATCCAGGCCATCTACTGCAGGCTCCTCACTGCTGACACATCACACCATGTTGAATTGACAGTCATTTCCTGCACATACTTCAATAGCAGCTCATCTCTCCTTAATCTCTTGGATTTCCAAAAATGGAATTTTGCCAGAATGCCCAGAGTTGGAGCTCGTTGCCATTATGTCATTGCCTGGCTGCTGTTTTACCTGTCCTGCCCTTGTGTGTGTGGGAAGTTTTCACAAAGCGTTGAAACAATGAAAATATCACCTTCAAAAAAACGAAATCCTCTTTGGTTTATCCAGCAGGAGCATAAATTCCATTCATTTCCTTGAGTTCTTGTATACCAAAGCCTTGCAGTCAGTTTTTTTCTCATATTGACACATATCCACTCATTTAAAAAAAAAAAATCATCTATAAGGACAGCTAGATTTTTCTGGCATAGGATTTAGAAAGACTGCCTGTATTTGGGAGTGAAAGATGTGTTTAACTTCAAATCATTCAGCATAATAACTTTTATGTGATTAAATAACAGGCAGAGGAAATGGACCTTGGTCAAAGCCCACGTACCTGTAAGAGTAACAAATATAGTTTATGGACTATGCTAAAATGTAGCAGCTTATGGAAGGAATTCCTAGAAAGAACTCAGGGTAAATGCCTTGTTTTCTTCTCTGAGATTCGGTGACCTTTGTTGTCCTCTGAGTGATGGGGGCATCCCAGTTATAAACTTGCAAAGGTAACACACCCTCTGTACTTTTCATCACTGTTTTGAAAATCAGTTTGTAGAATCCTTCAAACCACAGGACATGGGCACACCAATGTTTGTACCTGGTTAGCAGTGGTTAAGTGCTTCAGAAAAGGGGCCATCAACTGATTCTTATCCACCTTGTTTTCTAATAGTACAAATGACATTTCATCAATATATCAAAGTAGCTTGTAATTGCTTAGCAATTTATTTACTTAAAGCTTTTTTTTTAGTAAGTGTTATATAATTAATACAAAAAAATTAACATACAAATACTATTATAAAATAGTTGTGATATCAGTTTAAGAAATCCAGTTGTGGTTTTGGCAGTTAGAGTTTTGCTACAAATATTTTAAAATATTAATGAGTATTTACAGCTGTATTTGTGCTTGGAGTCCTGGAAGAATTTCCATAACATTTTATAGAAGTTGGATCTGGCAATCCCACAAGATCTGCAGTGCATTATAAATGTAGTCCAACGTGATATTGTAAATAATAAAAAATAAATAATATCAATATTTGCTTTGAGTTGGAAAGAATTGATTGTGAATGAGTCTTTTTAAAAACAGATTGATTCGATGACTATTTGTAGAAATCATTTGTGTCAACATAACGTAAAGTAAACCATAGAAAATTCCTGTTGCAGTTCCAAAAGTGTTGAGACCTACCAACCATGAAACCAGCACATCAGTGACGTATATAGAGCTTAACAGTCCCTTAGTGAAGAAAATGAACAAATGCAGGGGATTATTTGAATTAGTAGAAAGTTACTTAACAAAAAACAGGAATATCATCATGCTAAAATGATGACAAGGACAAACCTACCTTCCTCTGTATTGAAACCAAAAAAGTCACTTAAGCTGGCAGAGAATTAGCTGGCACTTGTTTTCACCTTCAAATAAAGAACACTGCAAGCTAAAAAAACCCCAATAAACTGGGATAGAAACAGGTGTTTTTAAACAATAAATGAAAGATGGGCCATACATTGTCATTATGCCATTTCATACTTCAAATATAATCCTAAGTTTTTACAGATATACAGCACTGTATTGGCAACAATTCAAGTTATGTACCACAGTCTTAAGTTTGTTTTCTCCATTCTATATTATGTGAAGAATTTGACCCTAGAAAAATGGTATTTTTATGTTGCCACAGGTAACATCCTAAGAATCTGGGTATCTAAGATGTGAAGGAAATTTCAGTCAGGAATTTAATTCTTTATTATTTCATTTTTATTTTGTAACAGCCACCTTTATGAAGCATAGAAACTGAACTAGAGTAAGACTGTCCTAGTGTTTGGTTTTATGCTGAATGTTTGTGAAGGTGTTCCCTCTTCTTAGGTGGAACAGCTCTGGGTTTTTTCAAGGGTTGATAGTTTTGTTTTGTTAAAACTGTTTCCTCTATTTTATATGACTGGCAGGGATGATTTTTTAATATTATTTACAGATAGAATGCAAAAAAAAAAAAGTCCAAATTTCATAAAAACAGTTTTTCAATAATTCAGAAAGTCTGAAAATATTGAAAGCTGTGTAATACTGATTTAAGCAAGTGTATGTGTGTATATCACAGTCACCCAGAGAGTCCTGCCTGAATTTTATGTATCCAGGTGTTTTATAAAAATTCTAATGATCAAAGTAATTAATTGGTCACTACTGTACTTCAAACTAAGATCTGTTTCCAATTATTTGCTGTTAGAAAGATCAGGAAATTCTTTACTCAACTTCATGTGTTTTTTTCATACTTGAACAGTGTTCAGACTTCTTGTACATAATCTGCAAATGTTGTTTGCCTTTTTTTAAAAACTAAGCACTGTTAATTCTTAAAATCACACAAATGTTAGGAAGCTTTGTGGTATGGAGGTCTACAAAAGTATTCTGTTGTCCAATTCCAGTGTTCCATTTTCTGTGCTACAGATTGGAAGTTGTTTCTAAATCTCATAGTTTAGTAATTTACAGCCTCTTCATTGCAATTCAATGCTTAAAAAAATAGTCATTCAGTATGTTCTAGTTTGAATATTTATAGCAGACAAAAATGTAGTGGTCTAATGTTATTGTGCCTATTATTTATCTACGTTTTAATTTTTAATTTAATTAGCTGTGCAGAGAAAAAAATTAATTATTGAAGGTGACATACATAGAACAAAGTAAGTCGTGAGAGTTTCCTACCAAATAAATGTTGTGCTGAATAGGTTATTTAAAGAAATTTTCTAAACTACAAAGATTCACTCCATGAGATAAATACTTAGATTAAGCATTGGAGTTTCTGAACCAACATAGCCAGCCAGCAAGAAAATTTTAATTTTTCCTATTTACATTGACATTCATATTCCCTCAGGAAAATGTGCTGCTTGTTTTCTGACAGCAAAACTAAGTATATTAAGCGGTCACGTTTTGTCTGCTCATTGTAAACAGCTTTCATTGGCTTTAAAGGGCGTATTTTGACCCACCAGGGAAAGCTCACACGTGAGGACTTGAGTAAACATTTGAATGACAGACTTGTTTTTGCAGCCCCTGCTTCCCTGAAAGTCAGACACTTGTCATAAATGCCCTCCCATCCTGATTTAAGGGGCAGAAACTGGGAGCAGAAGATGTCACCATCACAATGAAACTCACTGTGCTACTGTGTGTTCCCATATGATTTGTGCAGCTGTGCCTCATAACCTTTAGAAGAAAACACAACTAAACATTGCATTTCTCTGACTATGTTTACCAAACTGTAAGTGCACACTTCAGAGTTGCAAAAGCTAAAGAGTCATGTTTTTGGGGTTCAGTACGTAATAGATCATTTTTTTTTTCTGATATTGTGGAAACTAAGGACTATTTCAACAACAGTATTTATATATATATATATACCAGCTTATACTGGCAAGCTGGTATAAGCTGTGTCTGTCTTACAGCAAAGTGAAGAAAAAGCCAAGTTTTTCTCTTCTGAGTCTGCATAGAGAAATTACTCCTTTATTTTGGTAATAGTACAGGTATTTTTGTGAACTGCAATTCCAGGCCCATTTCCTGCTTCCCTGACCAGGTGCTTTCTGTGCAGCTTTGTCCAGCCAACAGGATGTGTGGGAGGTCCCTCCCTCTGTGGAACCAGAATTATTTTT